TAATATACTATGGCTGCAACATATAATTGTAAGTAGTTTGGCCCGTACTCACGTCATAATGGAAACCCAGTTGTAACAAATGATCCCTTACGTCGTTCATGTAACAATTCATCAAGTGTACATAAAAATCATAGCGGCTAACTTCAGGGAATAGTCTCTGGTGCTCGATCGTCAATTCGTCTAACTTCAACAGTGGATAATCTGGATGACAGTCGGAAGTCAAAAAGGTGTGCAAAGTACCGAAATGAAAACAACCAATTGTTTTTAAACGGGATTAATTCCACCCACAAATTGGGCCAGAGTCCTGGATTGAAAACACATGTGACCAACTCGAGCTGCTCTTTTGACAGTGGCGGCTTCTTATTCTGTACGTTTGCGACGACAAACGCAATTAAAATTAAATTCTTTAAATTGTTGTACATATTGTACATTTTTAAGGTTTATGATTTGATAGAAAACGTACTTGTTGTGTAATGTGTACCAAAAACTAAAATGCCGTATTACAATAGATTTGTAACGTAGACCGCACATAATCGTTTGGCTTTGCGATTGAAATATACACATTTTTGTTAACATTAAGAATTTAATAATAATTTTAAAGAAATCGAAATATTGTTAGACATGAAATTCAAATTATTTTCTCCGCGATTTATTACTTTTTTTTTTAATAACTAGTCCTTGATTCGAAGCCATTAGACGATATTTACTGTAATTAGAAATAAATTCTCAAAACTCGTCGAGTGTATGCAAAATGCGAACACCACGTCCATAACAGGTGCATAAAAAAAATAAACTACAAATCAACTATGGATGGCTTTTAAGTCAGCAAGGTATATTGAATTCGAGATGGCTACAGGTCTTCAGGAATTTATTATAACACAATTTTATATAAATTATCTTTCAAATAAACTCTTCGGCGCCAATTTGTAGATAGTAGAAATGAAAGCATTTTAAAGTCGAAAATTGTACTTTTATTATTAATGTTGTACAGGACAATTAGGTATATAATATTTTTTATAGATTTATAAAATGTACAATGGTTGTGTTTATCAACGGCTCATGCTATGAATAAGGGTTTTTAAAGTGTTTTAATTTTTAATTTAAAAATGATCATTTCATACTAATACTGACAGTTACCATGCTAGAGTTATATAAAGAACACTTATTGTCAATCCCATTTGGGTAAAAACTTTTTAAGTTTATTTGGTTTGACAAGGCCAAAGTACCTTGGTAGTTCTATGTCAAAAAATATTCCATACAAATCCGGACCTAGTTAGACTATTTTTATTAAAACATATTTTAGTGTTATTCGCGATTTTAAAGAGGAAGGAGTCATTGTTATTATTATTGTTATTATTCCCTACAAACGCCTTCATAATATCTTTATTTATCTCACCATCGCACTGTTATCTAACACAGCAATATAATAACAAGTTTTTGACTATTAAAACATATTTTGTTATATTATTTAATTCCAAACTAATTATTTTTATAGATAATTTTATAAGTTTATAACATATATTCTAACATTGCATAATTAAACGAATTTGTATTTACTGGTTGCTATATGTATATGAGTCAAAACGCCAAGTATAAATGTACATTTGGACCGACCTTCCGCTGGTTTTAATTGGAATTTACACTACAACTGCAGTGTTCTTAATTTTTTAAATATTTTTTCTTCGATTATTTTGGTCATGGTCGTAAAAAGTATTTTGAGTTTTTGTCTCCAACAACATTAAAATCTAAAAACTTGTTTTTTTCATATACTTCCTAAGTAGTTTTTAAATATTTTTTTCAATAAAGCTCAGAAAATTTTATATAAAATGGGTAAATTTCAAATTGGGATCTCCATGAAAACGCTCAAAAACAAAACAAAAAAAAAAAAGGAAAAATTCATAGAAAAGTCGAAAAACGGAAATTGTTTAATTTTAACCATTTTGATAGTAAAATTGTCTCAGTTTTCTAAAAAAAAAAAAATAAGAAAATTCTTAAATTTTGCAAACATGAAAAAACTTGTTTTTAGATTAGAAACTCAATTTTAATGACTTATTGTTAAGCAAAAAAAAATCAATATTTTTTCCAGAAAGCAGACATTACTTTATTTAAGAAACCGATTTTTAAGATACTATATTGATAAAACAAAGGTTTGGATAAATACTTTTTACAACCACGGCCAAAGTAATTTAAAAAAAAAAATTAGAATATTCTTTTCATCCTAATGCCCGACTTTCGAGTTGGGCTTATATTTCTTAAAAACAGTAAATAAACAAAATGTCATCGATACTTGTGTTCAATATGTCATAGCACTAATGGCCAGTGCAGTGACTGTCCGTCGACTTGTGCTTACAACATGACACATTCCAGCCTTTCTGGGGTATTTGGATATCCTAATATAAAGTGTCCGAAAAATTGCTAGATAAGCTGTGAATTACATTTCAAAGAATGCAAATTCGAAAATAATTGTTTCGCATATTTCAGGTTTTTTCATGATTTAATTGAAAAAGAAAAAAGTTCTTTGTAATATCAATTGTTTCATTTGGGTATTAAAAAAAAGAAGTTCTTCTTATCTTTTTCTAGGTTCTTGGTATCCGTAAACGAGTACTGATAGGTGAAATCAACGGTAGAAGACCCAGATGCCGCCCCTGCACATTAGAAAACAATATTTTTTGTGTTTTTTTATTTCAAGCTCAAAACAACACCTGGATACATAATGTGTAGCGAACCCGGTTGCACCCAAATAGCAACGTACGACAATGGTGTGTCCGGGACGTTGGAAGAATTCAAAAGGTTCCACGGCTCCTTGTTTTTCGATAACGCATCACGCGACAAAACATACCACGACTTAATAATCGATTTTACCCAAAATAATGTGCAAATCGCCTTTAAAAGCTTAGGTAAGTTCTACGAGGATTTTTGCAGACCGAAAAAAGACAAAGAAATTGCCAGAATTTGGCGAGATTTGCGCGGAGAATGCATGGAATATTGACGCCCCTTGACGTATTGCGACAAATTAAAAAACGGATAGATTCTACCGTCAACTCGAGCTTAAGTGAACTCTGGGTCTCTGTTGGCTTCGAGTACGATGAGGTAAATGATAAAACCCGTGTTACGTACGAACCGTAACGAATTTCGAAAAAAAATTACTCAAATCCATACTATACGACGAATTATCTGTCCAAGAATAATTGAAAATCCAGCCAACATAGAAAGCGAAACAATCCTCATCCAAAGCCGCAACAGTTATTCGCTTGATAAAATATTCAAATTGTCAAATACATTTTATAAAATTACAAAATCTGTACAGCTGTAAAATTCCATTTTACAATTATTAACTGACTTTTATAATTCAAATATACGTTTGGAAAAAAAAACCCATACATTTCTAGTTATTTATGATAGAACAATATTTTGTATTGGTCAATCTTGATTTGTTTAATAATACATTGAACAAATACATAAACGTCGTGGCATATTAGGGTGAGAGATCTATATAAACGCTTACAACAAAAAGTGGTTAAATTACTTTCCAATTAACACTTTGATGCAAATCGGTGGATAGTAGCTTAAAACCAATCTAGTATAAAACAAGCACAATAAGAAAGTATTATACGTAAGTGAGTAGTTGTAATAAATATGGTATAGTAAGTATAAAGTATGGTTTGGTAAGTTTGGAAATAAAATAATAACAATTATTATTCGGAAAATTGTATACGTCATAGTTTAATTCAAGATCTACCTTTTGCTAACTTTCAGACCAAAATCCCTAAAACTTGTAAAAGTGAAATAAAGAAAAAATACCATCTATTTTACAAGAAAGGGGATGTGATATTGTACTAAGTCATATATTAATTTAATATATGTATATTGCATTACAATCAAAGTATAATGGAAAAATTAAATTTAAAAAAATGTTATTACATGTAGTATATTTATTAAACCTTCGGCAGTTATACAAATTAATTAAATAATCATACATAAAATATCTGGCATATGTTTTGCGCCTCGTGTAAAATTAGTACCGGCAACAGATTTAACTCCATTTTAGCCTTATCATTAATGGCTAAGAGATCTATTGATAACGTCATTCACTAGTTCATTCCAACTTGAAATTTCTTCTTTTAAGAAAATAAATCGACTAAGGCTTATATTGTGTTCTGTTTATTTTTCTTTGTTAATCCTTAATCGTGTCTAGTTTCTACTGTACGGTATGTTATTATTTTGTTATTTTTGATTGTGATGAGATATTTTTTTTCTCAGTCCGTCAACTCTCAGTATAGAAATTTAGATATATTTGTGTTCCTGCGTACTGATTAATCTGCTGATGTGATGAGTAATCTGAAAACATATTTGAATACCTAGAAATTTTTTCCAGAGACGACAAGATCATATTTTATAACTTTGAACTTAAAAGTGTCCAGTATTCAATTATATAATAAAGTATCACCAAAGAATTGTACTTATGATAAAATAAACAAATTAAAAAAGTTGGTAGGTCGTCTCTTAGATAATGATGAATTTAAATTTGTTTACAGATACCTTATCACAGCAGTAGATATATCATCGAACCATGTACCGTTGAAACAAAAGTACGTCTACATTTCTATGAATATTGTGTGTTAGATGGACCGAGACAGAATATATCATTTTACAGTTGCTTTTAGTTTGAAATTTATTACAAAGGAAAATATATTTTACTTATAGACAAACCAAATTAGTATTTGATATCGAGGAAAACAAATTGACCCATTCAATTGCATTTTCCATATCTATTATGTTTGTTCTATTTATAATATTTTGTTTTTTTAAGTCCGACTTAAACAAATCAATTTCACTTATAAAATATTCATTCATTCGTTTTTTTATAGACTCTAAAGACATTTTTAATTAAATATAAATAACAATTTAAAAAGGCGCGCAATTCAAACGGGACTATACAGATAACAGAATAGTTGGCGCGAAAATAATTTTGGCCTTATCATTAACGGATAAGATATCCATTGATAACGTCATCCACTTGTTCATTCAAATTTGAAATTTCTACTAAGAAAATAAATCGACTACGGCTTATATTATGTTCTGTTTTTTTCTTTGTTAATCCTTAATCGTGTCTAGTTTCTACTATACGGTATGTTATTATTTTATTAAATAGTTTTTATTTGATTGTGATGAGATATTTCCTTTCTTAGTCCATCTAACTCAGTATAGGAATTTAGGTGTATTTGTGTTCCTGCGTACTGATCAATTTGCTGATGTGATGAGGAATCTTAAAACATATATGAATACCTAGAAATCTTTTCCAGAGACGACAAGATCATTTTATATAATTTTGAAGGAACTTAAAAGTGTCCAGCATTCAATTATAAAATAAAATATCACCAACGAATTGTACTTTAGAAAAAATAAACAAGTGAAAAAGTTTAATTTAAATTTGTATACAGATTCCTTATCACATCAGTAGATACATTATCGAACCGTGAGCCGTTGGAACAAAAATACGTCTACATTTCTATGAATATTGTGTGTTAGATGGACCGAGACAGAATATATCATTTTACAGTTTCCTTTAATTTGAAATTTATTACAAAGGAAAATATATTTTACTTATAGACAAACCAAATTGTTCAACATGTTTCCAAAGTACTCTCCACATAACATACCATTCAAAACTTTAAGTATTATGTATGAACATTTTCAAAACTTATATGGGCTGTTCCAGTAAGTTTTGATTTATGACATAAGCTAATTTCTAAAATAATTATTTTATTTTGTTAGACCTTTTTTTAAAAGAATTAAGGAGTAATAACATTATTTTGTAAAATTGTTATAGTTTATTAGGTACTGATTTTTTTCAAAGTTCTAGTATACAATGTTGACACTAAAAAATCTCTCTAAATATGTTGAGACCTAAATTCAGTGTTCAAAAAACAAATTTAAATAATAAATGACACCTAAATGTATACATACTTAATAAATTATACATCATAGGCCATAACAATACCATTATCTAAGGTTTTCGTTTATATTTATTAATAATAAAGATACATTTTTTTACAGAGAGCAAACCTTATGTGATGTTATGTTGATATGTGATGATGACGTTCAAATTTCAGCACATAAAGCAATTTTAGCATCTGCAAGCCCAATGCTCTTAGCAATGTTCAATGGTGGCTTCAGAGAAACCAAAGAAATCAGTATGCCTATTAAAGACATTGAGTCTGGTATTCTGAAATCAATTGTAACGTGTGCATATACATTTCAGATGGATATCAATAATAATAATATTGAAGTAATATAATATACAAAACAGATACCAAATTATTTCCATTGAACACATTTCTTGTTATAATTTTAATATTTTTTTGTATTTTAGAAACTATTGAAAGCTTTTATTGAAACTATTGAAACTATTGGAAAAGAAAACTTTTCCACCGCCTAAAAATGTTTACCGGTCATTTTAAAACCTTTTGAAAAATTCTATGATATGGTTTTATCATTTTCGGTACTTGTCTAAATAATATATAAGCGTCTTAAAAACATGTTTTAAGTTGTGTTATTTTTTTTGAAATAAGAGGAAAACATATTTTAATGAGAGGTTTTCCATGCTTGTTTAAACAGTTACTTACAGTTAGCCATACACCAATGCACTAAATAAGAAATGTATCGAAAAACAAAAACAACATCTATAAAATCGGCGTAGTGATGTTATATTTTGAAGTCTTCAAAGTTTACACGATTTTGATTATTATTATATTTATTTTGGGACTATTTATTTTTTACTTGAGCAATTATAAAAGTAGGACAATTGTCAGTATTCCGACCATACCTACCCAATCCCCCCCCTTGGTTCAATTATAATAAGGGTGGTATATTTATAGTGCTTGTAACCGTAAAAAAACTAGATCCGCCTCTGGCTCCGAGCCCTAAAGTATTTTCTTATTTTATTAGATCTCGCCCATTATTTCCTCGCTATTTCCTGTTCTGTTAAAGTAATACAGTTTCTTTCCAGGTGCCCGGTAACCATGAGATCACTAAAGACAAGTTGATTCCATTGCTAGCTCAACTTTATCTCTTCCCGATCCACATGGACTTGTCATCCACAGTTAGAACATTCTTCAGCAGTACCAAAAAAAAAAAAAATTGTTTACAAGTGAGGCAAATGTGAAATGGTCCTCCTTTCCTCCCGACCTTTCTAATATGCCATCTTGGCAGCCCTAACATCAGCCCATAGGCGCAATTTCAATTTTTAACTCGGGGGGGGGAGCTGGACATCTTTTAAAATATATATATATATATATATATATAAGTAAATATATTTTTGTATTTTAAAATTGTACGCATAACTCAATTATTTTGGGGGGGATAGTCCCACCCTAGCCCCCCCCCCTAGCATTTGTGCCTATGCATCAGTCCCTGGCCTTGGTTACACATCATATCCTAATGGCTTTTCCATTGAATCATATGTGCATAACTTTTTGTATTGTATTTAATTATATTTATATTTGGTTACAACCTAAAAACATAGGATGATATTACAACTTATGACGTTGTTTAATAAAGGCCAATTAACGTTTCGGATCCGGGATGAACATTAAGATGTGGGAAATATACATTGGCGTTCTTTTAAAAAAAAACAACACAGTTTGTAATGACTGTTCTTATAACGTCATAATACTTAAAAGGTGGCGTGTAACCAACAGGTGTTTTTCATATAATGTTTGCAAATTGACTGCACAACAATATAGCGTGTAAAAAAATATTATTTGTATACCGTTGGTTTCTGTACAACAAGGGGATTTTAACTAAAACTAAAAAGTGCTAGTTGTATATTATTACTTATATATTTCTAATAATTATGTGTTAAACGCTAATTGTATTATTGTATAATTAGCTGCATGTCTTTAGGGAAGAAATTTACAAATAAAATAATTCCAAACACTTCAATGGTGGTAAAATAAGAATGTACAAAATAGGTATTCACTGTAACTTAGGTAAATACACAGTACCTACTACGGTGTAAGAAAATAGTTCAAACATAAAAGACACAACCAAATGGAATACTTGAAAAGAAAAAAACAGTTTTTTCTTATACTAGTACAAAAATATATACACCTGCTCGTTTGTAGTGACATAGCGCTGATAAACACAAAAAAAAACCTAATAACATGATACCCACATCGTTTTGAAAATATTTTACCACTGACAAAAATGTTCGATATTCGATCTCGGAATAAGCTATTTATTAAGGGGTAAAGGATTGGGTAATATTTGACAAAAATCGAACTAGTTGCTATTTTAAATATGTCGACTGATTTTAAGGAGAAAATATTTTAAGTTTATCTAGTTATAAAACGTTTTAAGTTAATGTTCTCACAGTTAATGCGAAAGTTTGATAAATAAAAAATGTTAACTGTACTCAACCCATCTTTGAACTATTATGAAAACATTTGGTTTGAGCGTCCAATTCTATAATGATAAAAAAAAAAGTTTTATTAATTTAAAAAAAACCTATTACCTACTTAGTGTTTTACTCAGTTTCAAAATATTTAAAATTAAGGCAACATTAAAATTAGAGGTCTTATTTTAGGCCAATACGAACCAATAAGTCCACTGGTCATCAGAATCTGATAAATTACTAAATACTAATTAATAATAATAACCCAGAACGGGTTGTATATTTATATATATATATATGCAGGGTGTCATGGAAAGTTCTACCGAGCTTCAAATGAGACATTTAGGATGCTCTATGGGTACAATAAATGGTATTCATCTTTTTTTAATTTTAAAATTAATTAAAATAGAACTCGTATCTCATTAAAAAATGGTCTATTAAAAAAACTATTTGCAGATTTGAAATTAGGTGAAAAAATCTAGTTGAATTGACATGTAACATGATTTTTTGGTATCTGGCCACACATGCGTCTACAGGGTGGCCACCGAGTGGCCGGCATGTGACTAAAACCAACATATGATATGCGACATATCATTTAATATAAAATAATATCTAAGGACACCACTGGATTGAGAATAAAATTCTAACCCAAAACGATGTGTCGCATGCCATATGTTGATTTTGATCACATGCTGGCCAATTATAAGAAAAAACATCCTAAGAACTTTAATGTTGCTGTTGACACTAATTGGTTCTATAGATTTGTATCGCACGTCAATAAGAAATAACCACTTTTACCAATTTGTAAAGGTTAATATTATTTGTGACGTATATTTTTTGAGATCTGTACGGTAAGAGCAAATAAATCGCCACATTAAAAAAAAAACAAGTAATTTAGAACATTCTAAACGCTGAGGAGTATAAATCAATTAGAGGAAGGAATATTATGGCGTTATTAAATCAATGTCTAGATCAATATAACACACTCATTTTATTTAATTCAACAAACAAATAAAAGTTTTAGATAAGCGTAGTATGCTAGAAAAATAATAAAATTCCTGGAAAATGCAGCCCTCCTATAGAGTTTTCATGAACCGACGCGACTACTGCTGATAGTCCTGGAATGCTTCTAAATTTCAATCCATTAATATAACTTAAGTTTACAAAAGGTTCCTGATCTAATCTTAAATAATTAGGCCAGTAATCCCAACTACTCCTCGTAATAAGACTTTCCACATCACCAGGTGGACACTTACTTAACTTCAATTTGTCCCTTGCGGTATTCTTAAAAAATAAAAATGGTTAAACATGTTTTTGAATAATGTAGTATTTTATACAAAAATTACTTTTAATTCAGGGCTAGGAAAACGAACCACAGATGACAAGTTTGCATTTCTTGTGTCTAGTGAATTTACCCATCCATTAAAAGTGCGGTATGGGTCCAGGTTCTATTTATAAGAGAATTTATTTATTATAACAATAATACACGTTTACATAACAACATAACAACAATAATACATTTCTCATTGGGTTTAATAAGAATATAAAATGTTATTTTTTCATATTGTTTTTATACGATGTTATTACAATTTTTTTGTTTTTACACCATTTCCAACTTAGTTTTCTTGACAACAAAAAAACTTAACATAAAACATTGCATGAAATTTATCTGATAATAAATTTGGGAATTTATTGAATAGGGCCCACGCTTTTCTTTTTAGTCAAAAATTAACGATGTTACAATAAAATATTATTTAAAATTGTAAAAAAATTTAAATTGTTATTGTAGTAAATTTTTTTTTTACTTTTTTACTATTTTTTAGAATAGTACAACTATAGAATATTATGTTATTATGTATTATATTTCTGTAAAATAATTAATATTCTTTAAATAATAGGTGGTGCATTGCTCAAGTGCTCCATGGCACGAGCCGCCACTGGGTCTAAGTTAAAAAAGGTCACTTCTTCACTCTTTAAATTTAAAAAAAATGTATAGTATGATAAAATTGTTTATCCTAAGAACTCAACACATTTTGTGGAGTTTTGAAAAACGTAAAATGTATTTTTTACCTACTAAAAAATAAATTAAAAGACATTACTCGATTATATTTACCTGGCTTGAAGAACCCGTAAAATATGGTGAATCTATACCAGCGTTCACTAAAACGTCAAAACACGGCAACAGAACTATAATTTTCCACATCATTTTTTTTGTTTATTCACTGTGAAATATCTTGACAATAAAGAACAACTAGAAAAGTGGAAGTCAGATACAACACTGTGCTGAATTTCAATGCTTTCGTTGCAGTATGACTCTTCAATTTGTTCTATGGGTAACGAAAAAGCTACGCGTTTTTACAGATGGCCTTAGTTAAATACAAACACAATTTTGGCCGGCACAGAATAATATGATGTTAGTGAATTTTAGCATGTAACATGCGTTGTTAGCCTCGGCACCTAAGCCCAAAAACGAAACTATAATGTCTTACGAGGTAGCGCGTCTACTTTTAACGAATAATAACATAATATAAGATGCCATGGAAATAATTACTATAGTCCTCGTCGTCATACATAACTTTTGGCGAGAACCTATGTATTGATTAAAAGACTATTATGTGTGACGGTTATGAGTAAAATTGGTAAGAGTACAATGGTATAAGATGTACATATATATATGTATGTATATACATTTTTTTTAAAAAAGGTATCTAAATTAGTGATTTTTTTAATATCAAACATGGTATTTTTTTCATATTATATAACAAATTCAGAGGAAGTAATATCCAATTCTTGATCATTTTCTTTAGTAGCACAATTCCATATGGATAATACCTTATTGTAGTAGAGATTGATGTACACACAATTTGTAAAAAATCTGAGGAAATAATTTCGTTCAAACTATAGAATAATCTATAAACGATAATCCTTATGCGCATATTGACATAATATATTATATGGTACATGACAATTCTATATCATATTACATTTCAACATCAAACCTAAGTATTAACAACTTTAGTTACTCTATTAATTAAAAAAGCAAGTTGGACAATACGAATTACTATTATAATCATTGCGGACTGTTATTTCCTGAAATGGATATTGTGTACAATATTATATAGGCACAGCCGTTTTATTTGGATCTCATTTCAGCCAAGTTGTTCAACCTCATCTTACCTATGGATCTCCCACCTAAATCCTTTCCTCCTGGTGAAGTTAAGAATTGTATTTGTTCCTTTCCACCTAAGAAAGCCCCAGGCTACGATTTAATTACTTCTGAGGATGCTCGACAACTCCCTAAAAAAACATTAATTTTATTGACTTTTAATAATGCAGTTCTTCGTTTATCATATTTTCCACTTCAATTGAAATTCTCCAGCGAATCTTACAACATACCTTTTTGTTTAAATCTGTTTGCTATAGTTACCAATTTAAAATAATGGCTATCGTTTATTTTCAAAATGTTTGCCATCAAGTTGCAGCAGCCTAATAGTAAACTTATAAAATACAAGTTTTCTAACAACAACAAACCGTGAACTAGGGTCGCTTAAAATATTATAAATTACTATGTACACTATACCTGTTAAAAAAAAAAATATATATATATATTTGTGTGTTTAATATTCTGTACATATCCATTGACAATTAAAATGTATAAGTTTTTTGTAAATCTCAATTTACTCGTATGATATTTTGTTAAACGATATCCTAACAGTCACAAAAATAGTATAATAATAATTTTTTGAAAATATACTTTTCTGTAGAATTAAAATATATTTTTGTCAAGTTGTTGATCGTCTAAATAAAATAGTAATAAAGAAGAAAAAATTGCATAGGTTGGTGAATAGAAATTGGTCTTTCTGTAGGCAAATTTTAGTATTTTACATTCATTTTTAAATATTGTATAAAGTAGTAGGATTTTATTATTAACCGCCGCAACCAAAACTGGTCGTTAAAATAATTGTGTGCTAGTGTAAAACTAAAATAAAAACTTATATAATATACACGCTTATGTCATATGTTGCTACAATTTCTATTTCTATAACTTAAACACATTTTTTAAAAATAATTATAAACATTTATAAAAAAAAATTATGTACCTGTATAACATTATTATGCCATTATAGGCATAATAGTATTATATAGATACATCATTTTTCTCAAAAGCCTGTAGCACTATTACTGACGGCAACATACACGATACGGCACAGAGGAAACGATACCTGCATACTGTCTCATCGGTCGGACAAATTATCTACTAATTTACAATAAATATGAACTATAATTGAACATTTGTTTTGTTTAAACTATTTCTTATTAATGATACTTATATTTAATAAGAATAAAAAGAAATTAATTTTAATAAAGAAATTCACATGTGATAATATTGTAATAGTAAAAAAACTATTTAAATCAATACGTTTAATAAAATATTCGAATAAAAAATATACTAATTTAAAATTATAATGCACAATTTGTTTTTATGTGTAACGTCCATACAGTTATGTTTAAAAATTACTACAATTTGCTTTGGAAAGTAATGACTGATCAAGTTACCTGTTTTTACTAACAATAATAACTTATATTTTATTCATAAAAAATAAAATTTTTTCTACTTACAAACTAAAAACAAAAAAAAACAATGTTTTGTTTTTAGTAGATAAATAAACTTTTTTTTTTTTACAAATAATTTATTTGGTTGGTTTTTTTTCAATTATAACGTAATTATTAGGTTTTTAACTTGTGTAAAGTATACATAATAATAATATTACTCTGCTATTTAGATTCATTGAACAAACATAATTTTTCATAAAAATATATCAAGAAATCTAGGGAAAAAAATTAATTTTATAAGTGCAGTTAAGAAAAAAAAAATCAGTACGGCGATGCGTCAACTTGAATTAACATCCGATTCTCGTTGTTTCCTTTGACGTCCATGTCGTTGATGATCTGGATAAAGAAAAAAAAATGATATGAAATTTAAAAAAAATATATATATATAATAAAATTAATATATACAGTATGTCAACGAATAATAAATAACGGCGAAACTCTTTTATAAAAAAAAGTACCGAAAACAATGGTTGAAAACGTGAATTTATTAAGCGTAAAATGGTATATATTATTTATAGCGTATTTTTTTATTTATAAAGTATATTATTAAGTTTAAATTAATCCAATATAATTAAGATATTCATGCACTTTATGCTTTGGATTTAAATATTTATTTTATTTTATTAAGTATTTCAATTTTTATTTTTTTACTATAATTGTATTTTTAAAAAATTAAAATATTTATTGTGCTATTATATTGAATTAACTATTTACTTTTTAATTGTATCAAGAAGTTTTAAGCATTCAGAGCAGAACTTGGCTTTTGTTAAGTATACATCGATCTGTAAATACGAAAATGAATCAAGAACAAAAAATACAATAATGTTATCAAATGTAGGACAATTGAAGTTTCATACTTGCATCATTTTCTATAAATTAACTATGACATCTCTCGAGTCTAACTTGATTAAATTCAGCAAAATGAATTTATTTATGTTCAGTAGTAAGCTTGTTGTTGTTGTATCAATCCCTTGGTGTAAGTAACTGAAAAATAAAAAAATTCAAAAGTAAATACATTTATAAGTAATAACTATCCATGAACTTTGAATACATAATTCGGCGGTTTAAAGTCTATTTGGCTGTTAGCAAGTTATTAAGGTACTGTACAGCCCTTTTACATACGTACTCACGGTCATCTTGAAGTCGTAGAATTAATTAACGTCCAGCCATGCTCATCCGCTACAATATTTTGCTAAATTTCAATGAGATAGTATTTGCGGATAACAGTTCTTAATTGTTGCTTTAAACATTTAATACATTGAGAAATTTGTGCATAAGAACTTGATTCATAAAGCATTTCCCTGCTCTTAGTTAGAGTTACGGGAGATTCTAACCGTTTTTCTGTAGCGTAAAAGTGACCGACAAAATTACTCATTGAAACTACTGTTGGTTTGTTGGTCGGTTTGATAATAAACATTTTCATTGTTGGCATCTTGAATGAAGATTGCTTTATCGGATATTCTTTACTGGAGTTTTCGTTAAACAAGTGACTTTACTTCGTGTACGTTTGGACGGAGTTTTATTATTAATATTTTCTGTAGGGGCCTATGGTGGAAACGGCACAAAACACTAAACAGTAAACACAACTACTATAATCACTAATATAACAATTATTGATACATAATGACTTGTGGTCTTAGAATCTTCAGTACTATAAAGTATATTATTATTTATCAAGAACAATAATATTATTATCACACATTAAAATTTGAAAGAATATATTTTGTGATAAGAGTATATCGTCAGTGAACCCCGCCATCGCATCAAATTTAAATTGTATCTTTTTAAACGTTTTTTCCTAAGCTTTGTAGTTTTAATTTTTTGAAAAAGATACCTACACAATTTAGTGAACAATAAACAGTCTTTTTATTCGTATAACACAAGTTTCAATATGAGATTAGGTCATATTTTGATACACACGGTAGTAAATCTTTCACATTGTGTTTGTGCTATGCTTTGTTATATTACATAAGGAAACTTACAGTCATTCATATATAGAATCAAATAGGTACCCGAGGACTTGAGTCTATTATGGCTATTTTTACTTTTTCCTATTATTTTTTTTAGTGTTCAACACTTTGTACCTGAACAATCAACAAAATAAAGTTAACCTTTTTGCTCTAACGATTACGATAATGAAATAAACAGGATATAATCAATAGTACAATGTAATAGCTGTGACGATACTGGAGTAAAATGTAAATAGTTCATTTCTAGGTATTTTGCTGTCTATTAGGTGTAAATTGTTGACACTAGATGGCTCTGTTTGTGAACTACTATTAAGCCGGTGACTTCGATGGACGATACGAAATACTTACAATTGACTGAGAATGTTTACTATTGATTGAAAACAACTAGGCGTCGTCTAACGCAAGTCGTGTGCAAAAAATAAGTATATTAAATATTACGCGTGGGGTGAAAATTACTTTTGACAGTTTTACTCGATCACTTTGGGTAACTCCGGTTAACTCACTGATGACGACCATAAGTATGGATCGTTGGCAATCGTTCCAGTTAAGATCATACTTCACAGGATCATTTCTGTAGTATGCATCGTCCCCTCCAGGTGCAAATCTGGAGTCGTCGTCAGCCACGATGATGAGACTAGTTCATTTGCCAGAGCGTGAGGCTGCTAGTGGTCTACCATTTGCTTGGTCATGACTGTCTAGCGACGATGATCGCAACCAGTTCGCTGGAAGGTGTTTGAACGGTCTGAGTGGTTCCTATTAATAATAGTGATGAAATATGTATCAACCTGATGCCCATTGCTGAACTCGAGTTGAATACTTGAAATGCTGGTAAAATATGTATAAAACATTAAATTTATCAATTTTTGTTATATTTGTTTAATATACCCGAACCGGGGCCGCTATTACGCATAAAGGGTGGTAAAGTCAGCCTAAAAACCGAAAAAAACGTATTATTATTATTTGTATTAATTAAGAAACAAAAAAGGTATTGATTTTTACAATACCTAGTCAATTTGTTTAACTTAGATGCAGATCTGTGAGGGATTTTCACTCACGGGTATACCTAATAACACATTTTGTGCCCGTTGAGGGTTTGCAGAGCGTTGGCTCCCGCGAGTTCGGCTGTTTTCATATATTTTCCCGATAAAAATAAATTAAGCCTATCCGCCTGTGGACGTACAATTTAAGGCGTTCATACAACACTACAAAAAAATAGTGTACAGTTGTAAAAAGCAAAAAAAATATGCCAACGGCACGTAGTGTTCCCAAGCGGTCACCCATCCAAGTACTAACTACGCCCGACGTTGCTTAACTTCAGTGATCGGACGAGAACTGGTGTATTCAACGTGGTATGGTCGTTGGCGAAGGAATTGTGTTTATGTTACTTATTTAAACACAAGATTGTAACTATTTTTCTTTTTTTAATAATATAATATGATGTAACACACTGCATACAATTTAGTTTTCACAGCACAAAAAATAAAATAAAATTGTACAATACAAACTAAATCACATTATTTTAATATTGTGCACGATAAAATATGTTGATTGTTAAACAATGTATTAATGAATCGATTTTGAATTTTGGTTATTAAGAGTCATGGCAAAGTTTATAAGATACAATTATTTTACCAAATACTATAAGTTACATCATACGACCATGCGATAAATGAATAAAGGAAATTTTAAAAACTGAATTTTGAAATCTAAAATGTTTAGTTTCCTAGGGACTATATAGCATTTTTGACCAAGTACACTACAAGTGTAAGCATATTAAATGATTACATTTTTTAAAAATTGATTCAATTTTGCAAAAGTAAACGTCGGTTGCTCAAGATTTGTTTTTTAATAAATGCCTATATTTTATATTTTGGTTGTCACGGCGTAACATTTTTGGAATTTCACAATTATTTTGGTTGCTATTCGAAAGTATTAGAAATTTGAATTTGTTCATAACTACGGTCATCAAGGGCCTTTTAACAATAAGCAGCTGTATGATTAACACATTGGCTAGGTACGTCATGTATACTTTTTGTATTTCGGTAACCAAGGCGTAACATTTTTGGAATTTGTCATTTTTCAAAATAATTGGTGACTGGTCTTTAATTGTTGTTTTTAATTTTGTGGGCTGCTGCCTACTGCGTAATCTAGTACAAAACTAATATATAGTTATTTGATCATAATATTCAATAAGTCCACAATTATTTTCGAAACAATAGTAGTAAAACTAGTTTATTAAAGATTTTTCGTTACAAAAAAATGTACCATTTTAAGTATATGTTTAATTTTTTGTTGAATGTTTTTCGTTATCAATTAAATTCAAAATGAATAATTTTTTTTTGTCAAATGAGTTTTTCTGTTTTTGTTTTGCCAAACATGTGATGTTTCAAATACCCGATTCAGGTTTGTTTTTTAGTTCTTAGTACTCAGATATACCCGTGGTCTCTATTTTAATCTCGACATTGAATCTACCTTAAAGTGCGCGATTCCAAAGTTGTATTATTTGCAATCGACAATAAACGCACTTGTTTAGAAAAAGGCGTCAAGTGAAGGCAATTTAGCTACACGAATGAACAGCGTGCTTCATCGCATCTTTTTCACTTTTTAATACTTTTATATGATATGTCATTCAACTAACGAATAATTAGAATTTTCGAATGAGCATTTAGTTAAATCAAATTGCATAATTTAAGTCGATTAAACTTTTAAAAAAATGTCGTTTCCCGTTATTTTCTGTTTTGCGAAGTACTAATTTGTAAACGATTATTTTTTATTGTTATTATGCACTCGGCTTAACGATTTTTCTATTTTGAATTTACATTTGTATTATTCTTTAATCGTAGTTGTCTGTCTTATCAATAGTATCATTATTATATTCGCAATGATTAATTATATATTGGTTAAATTAAATATTGACAAAATTTTTTGTAGAGATAGCACAATAAGTTATAAAACTATAGTCAACAATTTTGATTAAAAATTAGGCGAAATAATTTTGTATTTAATTAATGGAATTTGAAAAAAGGATTGCAATACAACAAAGAAATGTTTTAATAAAAAATTATACTAGTGATAAATTAAAACATTATTCTAAAGTAATTAATCTAAATGTCGTCCAGCACAAACTTCTTGGCGAATTCGTCAAGTAAAGTAAATTCAACTTTACTAAGACTAACGATTTTATTTAAAAACTCGGAAAAATCCACCACACCGTCGCCTGGAAAAACATTCAGGTATTAATCAATAACAATTTTCACTACAATTTGTTGTTGTCTTCTATCAAGTATTTACCGTTTTTATCAAAGTTCTCTATGGCTTTTTTGGCTTCTTGGGATTTGGCCAATTTCGAGTGTACAAAGTCTGAAAAGTCAGCAATCACATCAGCGGTAATAACGCCTTTTTTGTTTATGTCCATTACAGTAAACATCTCACATAAAATGTGCAACTAAAAGAATAATTAAGAAAAATCTTATACATTTTGAAAACACTATAACACTACTGTATTCACTTTTACAATAACGAACTTAAATGGTAACGTACATACTTTATTACCTTTTTAAATTAAGAATATTTTACTAAAAATGTTGACTGGTTGACGACCAGTTTTCAACAACTACTTTTAAACTTATAAGAGGTTAAAAGTTAGAAAGGAAGGGAAGTGCACGCAGATAAAAATAATACTACACCCCACCTTTCCTCCTGCGATAAACTTGTAACTTCAATAACCATCAAAACTAGTTATCCAAAAGCTGGTATAGAATATTAAGTTTGGGAGAAGCATAAAAATGTATGGAAAATTGCGATCACATTATTAAAAAACACTATAAAATGTTTTTTTTAATATTAGTTAAACCCAATGAGAAATTGAAGGGTTTCATGATGAAATCACATGTATACATATAAAGAATACGTTTAAAGATGATTGAAGGCATATGCGAGTTGACAAACTTGGAATGTCATCTTTTCACCAAGTATATTTCTATAAATTTGATTATATTACACCTAAATCGGAAAAAGTGTTTGAATAAAGTATTTTAGAATATTTAAAAATAAAAATTCACACTTCAACATTTAATTCCTGACTAATTATTCATATAAATTTTAGGTAAAAATACTATACGAAAAACAAAGTTAATACATAAACTATTAACCTTTAACGAAGCTTCCATCATTAATTCTACTCCCTGGAACTCGTCACAATCAATTTGACCATTTCCTGAAAACAGTTGTAGTAAATATTTTAAAAATGAATTTCAACATATAAGTTTCCTACTACCGTCTTGATCGATAAGGTTAGTTATTTCTTTAGTTTCGTCTAGCGCGTTGAAAAAGTTCTGTTTACATTCTTTAAACAGTATTGCCTGAAGAGCTGTTACCGGAAAATTTTCTTCGTCGCCGAATGGACAGTCATCATCCACTACACTCGATGTATTTTTCTAAAATAATATCAGAAATGCATGTCATGTAAACTTTATAACGACTTATTTGGAAAGGTTTAAAAATATATATATATATATAGTTTTTGTGTGTATCTGAATAATGTTTAAAAACAATGATTATATTTAATTATATCATTTTTATGAATTAAAGCGAAACAGTATCAGGGTAAAATCTCTTTTAAGTTTTCATTCATTCTTCCTTTCCTTCCTTATTAATAAGTTGCAACAAAACTGAAAACACAAAAACTTCAGACGCGTATAAGTTTTTAAAATCAATTTCATATTTATATTCGATCCAAAGTATGCGTTAAAAAATCTTTTAAAATATGTACATACTCGTAGTTTCAAATTAAAATAGTAGCGCTCTATAGTTTTAATAAAAATGTAATTACTTCTAAATTTGTATGGAATATATAAAAATTGAAGGGCCAGAAACATTTTGTTTATTTCTATTGTTTAAATGAAATTTTAGGCCTTAAGGTCTGAAAAATATACCGAAGGTAAATCTAAAAGGGGACTACGACGTCTTATACAATTTTAGATTGCTCTGTATGTGAGTACATTTCATTAACTTTTAAATAGAGAAGAATATACTACAAATGTTGAGTGGTCTATAACAAGTTTTGGATAACTAATTTTGATGTTCTTGAAGTATTATTATTTTTATCTGCGCGCACTTTCCCCCCGTTTTAACTTTTAAACTCTTAAAAGTTAAAAAATGGTTGTTCAAAACTGGTTATAGACCAGACAAATTTTCAGTACATTATCCTCCATTTAAAAAGTAAATAAGGTATATACGTTACTATTTCAGTTTCAATAGTTGCTATCAAAAAAACTAATTTTGGAGGAGAATAAAAACATGAAAATTTGTGAGAAATTGAGATCATTTTACATAAAAACACTATGAAAAAAAATAATTTTAATTCAACCCAGTGAGTGGCACACGATAAAAAAATCACCGTTCCTACTATGCCTCGACCCCACTGTACTCATTTAGAGTTTATAATGTCTGTTACGTCCTAAGTATCTCACAGATATATCATAGACCACAATGTGGAAATCACAAATACGAAAAAAAAAATAATAATAATAATACAGCGTAACAATAATACAACGGAATTAACCTCTGTCATAATATCCACTATCGGTTTGATTTTTTCTAATTTAATTTGCACGTTACCTGAAAATATTTATTACAATTGTAGAGTGAAATTAATACAAAATACAGGGTGATCAACTTATCGTGAACCACTCAATATCATACTGGGTTTAGTTAATAATTACATTTTTTTTTTTCCATACAATTTGTATACAACGTGAACTCAATTATTCACAATTTATTTTTGTTTTTACCCTCCTCCCAACTTGGTTTTTTAGATAGCAACTTTTGAAACTTAAATGGTAACGCATAGAGTTTAAATGTTAGGATGGGTGGGGGGAAGTGCGAATGGGAAATTCGCGCAGATAAAAACAATACTGCACTCCACATTTCCTCCTGTACTGAACTTGAAACTTCAATAACTTCAAAAATAGTAACACAAAACTGTTAATCGACCAGACAAAAATTCTAGTACATTATTATCAATTAAAAAAAATAATGAAATGTATGCGTTACCATTTAAGTTTCAAAAGTTGTAATCGAAAAAACTAATTTGGGAGGAGGGTGAAACCAAAAAAAAATTGTGAACAATTAAGATCACATTGTATAAAAATATTATGTAGAGAAAAAATGTAATTACTTATTAAAACCAGTGAGATATTGAGTGGTTCACGATAAGTTGGTCATCCTGTGTATATGTTTATAATATATGTGTATATTTTTATTTGTATTCTGAATATATTACCGTCTCTATTCAATAAAGATATATATCTTTTTGCTTGGCGAATAGTAACGAGTCCGATTGACTCTTCGAATAACATTTGCTGTAGTTCCATTGCGGAGATCAAACCATCATTGTTTTGGTCGTACATATGAAATTTCTCATGCCATCCATCGTTCACATCATCCTCGCTTCGGAATCACAACCTAAGTGTATTACATGAGAACACATTTTGTGGTAAACAACACGACCAATTTGTGTAGAACAAACAGTGCAAAGACATTTTGTATACATTTCGTCGATATCATTGCGAGACTATCATTTTGTCTAAATATACCTAGGTATTATAATTAGTAAAAAACTCTTAAAAAAAAAAGAAGGAAAAAATAAATATTTCCACGATGGTTTATTTCTGTGCTGCTAATTGTTTGGTATTATTAGTAAAAATTCAATGTACAATATTATCTTCTACTATCATTGTTTTGTTGTAAGAAAAAATATTTTTTTGACCCCGTTTACTACAAGTTGTTTCATATTTAAAAGGTTTAGATAATATATATTATTTACGTACCTCCGTTGAATTGGTCTCGATTGACGCATCATTTTCCCCAATAAAACATGCAAAACACAAAACTACTGTAAAACTACTTAAAAACATACTGCAATTAAAAATATGTACGTGGAATAAATTATTATGTACGTGGTGTGCTTGGAAATAAAACTGTTTCTAACAATTTTGCGTTATGTTTTTCGCGTTGAGTACTTGCAGTATTTCTAACATGTTTTTTTAGTAAAAACAACAACTGCGAAAAACAAACATAAGCCATATTTCAATACCTACTATAGTTTTCAGATGTTCGGGCGATTGTTAATATCAATATACAGATGTATTTCATGGGTAATTTCCTAACGGGGTTAGTATTGTTCATATTGATATGACTCACCGCATCTTCAAGAGATTAAAATAGAGAGATATAGATATCCAGAGGGCGGGAGGATGGGTGGGATTCCCCCTCCCCTATCCCTCCTCTCCTGGCCATGAGAAAAATACAAATTCAATTTATAGTAGACTTATAATGAAACTACACAGAAATAATGGAGTTTTTAACAAATAATAATTATATCAATAACCGAATTTTTTTTAACCCACCAACAGTGAAGAATGTTAAGAAAATTGGATTTTTTTTATAACCCCTATAACAATAAAATCACTTTATTTTTACCTCCAGAAATAGAAATAGTGCTTTGACATCGCCCAAAAAGAGTTATCATGTTTTTTTTTTTTATTCAACTTTTATAGTTTTGTGACTGAGGTCTGACAATATGACTGAAGATAGATCTTCAGTTGGGGTTATAAAATCCAAAGAGAAAAGGACACAAATTACCCTTTGACAGGGGTAAATTTTTAGGTTGTTTAGTTAGAGTAGATCATCAAAAGTAAATACAATTTTTTGCACATTACTGTCTTCTAAGGCGTTTTTTTTTTATATAGAGTAAATTCGTTATTTTTAGTTGTAACAATTATTAATCTAGACCAGTCACTTCCCCGAACGAAGGATATTACAACGTTGTAGATATAATTTTATATACTGAATTATTATCGCATCCAATTGTTAGTATTACGTTTAAGCCTCGCTTTATTTGGGTTATAAAACTACAGAGTGAATGAAATCAAGCATTTTCAGCATAACTGGTAAGTTTACCGGTGTATTTATTTCGAAGAAACCTAATAAAAACAATAAAACGTCCAAAACAATAGTTATATGGATTTTAATAGTAAGCGACTCATTTAGCGCTCTCCAAGCACTCCAAAACCCCTTCTCGACAAACGAAATAACCCAGAACATACAAACAGAACTATATTCTACAAAAAAAAATATAGAATTTATGTGGGTACCATCTCATATCGGAATTTCCGGCAACGAGATGGCCGATAGGTCAGCAGACATAGCGACTAAAACCATCCTGCATCCAACAATCACTGACATACCGGCTAAAGACATAAATAAATCTATTAGGAATAAAATAAATATGACATGGCAAAGTTACTGGGATTCCGTTCCGCCTTCCAACAAATTAAAAAAAATCAAAAGATGCACTAAAAAGTGGCATTATCTTCATAATTTAAACAGACGACAAGAAGTAACTCTAACCCGAGTGAGAATCGGACATTCGGTTTTGGTACAAAAAAATAAAAGGCGATCATCATTTCGAAAACGATACCGTCTCGGCTCCACGGCAAAGTTAAAAAAGTAAGCACAGTGAATTCGACGTCACGTCTTCTACTCCCTCTCGATTAACTATTTTTTTTTTTGAAATAATTAAAAAATGTTTAGTACTTACCCGTGTGACTGACTGTTGAACCCCAAAAACAGCACCGTGTTTTGCACGCGTACCGCCGCAAGCTACTGCACGTTGACCGTCGACACGACTTGGCAGTATAACAGCGCCAGCGCCAACCCCTTCTACCGCTCTCTATCACAGGGTGCATCCGGAACTCTCCAACGTTTAAACTGTGCAGAAGGATAACCGATAAGGATAGTTTTTTTTAATATAATGATAGTCGAATTCATTTGGTAGGTAGGCGTAGGCACTAGCTGGAAAAAATTCCCGAACAAACAAACACCGCAGTTGTCAGATTCCCTAACATAATACAACCTACCATGTAATATTAACGAGTATTAACAAATTGTAGATCCTATAAATTATTTAGAAAATTTTTTTTAAAGACTTCATTGTCCGTAACGACACAATTTTAGTTTTTATTTTATACTGTCAAGTACGGCTGAATGAAAAATAGTAATATTCTGGGTCGGTCTATTTTACCGAACTGTATATTCGGTTGCTTATACCCTCGGGACATATGTACTGAACTATTGAAACCTAACCTAACCTGCCTACAGAGTGTATAAAAATAATGTTTTAATTTATGCAATTAGCGGACCAACTCGTTTATGGCCAAAATTGACAATGGCCCTTTTAAGCCACAGATTTGGTCTGTTTAAAATATTTATAACAGCAAAACAACATACAATACATAATTATGAGGATTTAAATTGGAGGCAAGACTAGATGGAAAACACTGATAAAACGTGTACCCGACAAACTTTTTTTAAATTTAACTTATGCAAATTTCGCTCAGAGTACCTTAAAGCGGCGGGCGAATGGAAACCCACAGGGAAGAGACCAAGAGGACGTCCAAAGAAGCGATGGATAGATGGGATAAGGCAGGACTTAGAGAAACTAGGGATACCAAATTGGGAAGAAAAAGTACAAAATCGAAAAGAGTGGAGGGAGGTGTCGGTGGCGGCAAAAACTCTTGAAGAGTTGTGATAGCCTTCTATTAAGTTTAGCCTTAATGCCAACTGAGAATTTAATCCATCAAAATCAGTTATATTAATTTTACAATGATGTTTCTTTTTCTCTTTGTGTTTGGAGCAAAAAACAAATTGAACTTGTATAATGTATATTAATTATATATTTATATTCACTACTTAGTATTACTCAGTTTTGATTATTACAATTTCATAGTATATAATATTAAAATGTTTATGATATGTCAATATTAAATGTTTTCAATCTCGCATCATTAAAACAAATTATGTGATCATAATCACTTAATATATTTGATGACTCAATCTCTTGCCATATGTTTTTTTCAGCAATATATCTTTCACAAAAGACTCCCTCGGGTTCTTCATCATTTTTTGTGAACCACAAAGTGGTATTTTTCCCGACAACAAATAAATCGTTTTCAATAGTAACGGCATCTGCATTTTAAAATAAAGTGTTATAAATATATCATATAGATAAATCTTTCATAGTATAAACTATTAGTTTCATCATTTTCGGAACTTTTCATGTTGTCATTATTTATACTGACTTTTTTAACCAATTGCTGTGTCAAAGCGATAGCCACAGTACTACAGTATAGTCACAAGAGTGAAATGTTGACAATCACTCTAAATCCCAAATAGGTTTGAAAGGTCAGATAGCCAATGAAACGACAACATGGATATACCCGAACATGATACAAATCATATTCGGATAATATTTCTCAAACACAATTATTATTATTCACTTACTAGCAAACCTTTTTGCATTGATCATATCAGGTAGGGTATCCCATTTTGAATCATTTATGTTCATTTTGTAAGCGCCTTTCAGTTTTTCATTACCGCCAAATAAATAAATATCATTTTCTCTATCTGAAATGCCCATTGTTACCCATTCTACTTTAGCTGTAGCTGTAGGCATAGGATGATGACACTGTATCCAACATCGTTTTAGTAGATCATAGCAGTCTACACTACTCAAAAAGTTGTCATCACCACTATTATCATATCCACCAAACTTCATAGAAAAAAAAATGAATTACATTAAATATAAAACGTAAAATCAATTACAATTATTTCTTTAGGTTTGGCAGCTTTTGTTATTGGTTTGATGGATAAAGTTTTATTTGTGTAGCAGAAAACACGTCCATTAATAGACATCAATAATGTTCTATATTTGCACAAATTGAAATAAATATAAATCATTTCCTCCGCTTGTTATGTCTAATAAAGCAGTAGCTGCTCATATCGCATTTAACACCACCGTTTTTCGTGCATATTATGGCACTCTATACTACTTAATAGTACATCTACATCCACAAGTCTACAAAACTTCATAGAATAAAAAGTCAACTACATGAAATGTACAACATTTAAACTACACTAGGTTTTTTTATCATGGTTATTAGCTTGTTAGGTTGTTGGATAGTTTTATTTCGGTAAATAGAATACTAGTACTATTGGGGACGATTTAAAACCTCGTGTTTAGTTTATTTTATAAACATAAGATCAATTTAGCCTAACATCAGATTTCATATGTCACCTAAGTAAAACACTGCACTACTACATGTCAACATAACATAAATTATGTATACAAAACCATAAGCCTATTCAAATTGTCACTTACTAAAACCTATAGATTAAACTATTACTGTCTATACCTGTATACAACACATTAAATACAATTTCATACTTACAACATATAAACGAGAGTTGTGAATTATTAAACTACATAATTGCCGAGGGGTTGGCATTGGCTTATCTATTACAGTCCATTCCTTTGAATATGTGTCATAATATTCTATTGAATCTAATGTTTCTCCTAAAGTATCTTCACCTCCTACCTATGCGGAATAGAGAGTAAAAAGACGCATATTAAATATATATTTTCAATATGTTACATAAATTTTGGACTCGGGTATATTGTTTTCCAAATAATATAAATTGATACACACCACATATATATACTTTCCTTGAGTGCAAACAGAAAAATATAATCGTGATCTATGCAAAGGCGTTGTAGGTATCCACATTTTTGATGTAGAAGTAAGTTCAAGTTCATAAACACAATTACTCCCTTTTTCTATTTCATCATAACCTCCAATTGCAAGTAGTATTCCAGTTTCCGAAACGACCAAAGTTGCATCTCGATGGGGTGGACAAAAAAATGAATAATCACATGATTTCCAATTAAGATCATTTTCCCGCCTTAGATCCATAAACGTTACATAAGAATCATCACAATTGGATTGACCTTTAATAGCAAAAATAAACTGAAAACAAATAATTAAATATTTCATTTTCTACAAATGTAAAAAGTATTCTATATGTAGATGTCCCACACAGCAAAAATATGTTTAACAAAAATAATAACATTTTATAATATCGTAAATATATTTCCTTAGATTATAAAATAATCAAAATATGTGGAAAAAATTATAGAAATAATTGTTTGATTTCATAATAAATGTACTTAAAAAAAAGTAACATTGATTATTATAAAGTATTTTTACTAAGTAGGATGCCACAAATAAGTTTCAAGAAAATATTTATATACATTTGGTTTATACAAATAAGGTGTCCTCTTTGTTGCTTTTGTGATATTTTCATCAACGTCGACAGATAAATAATTTTCCATGATATCCATCAAACCTAGAAATGATAGACTTATATTTAAAATCCATTATGAGACTAATATACTATATGAAAACAATTGTAAATGTGAATTGTAAAAAGATCCAATATTTATATGTTATATAATATAGTAATCAGTAGGGTCGGCATCGGTTTAAATACTCACAGTCACGTTGGCTTCTCAATAATGGTTCATCACGTATACATTTAAATGCTTTTCTCGAAATTAAAGGTAACCTTAAGTAATTTAGTAAATTTGATAAATATTTACTTCGTTCCTCTAGATCATACTTTATCCATTTAATAATGAAATCAAAGATCTATAATAAATAATAACACCTTATGTGTAAAAACATACGCAATTTATTAAATAAATCATTATTAAAAACAATCCTAATAAGAAAATTGGCGTGGGTAAGGAAATCAGACAAATGTATGCTGAATAAAGTAATAAGAACTAAAAATAATGATCTTATTTCTTTATATTTTTAATTAACACATTATTGAAATACTTGGTCTTAAAAAATGTCTAATCAACTTTATGCTTTTTCTCTATATTTCCAAATTCATTTTCTCACAAAAAGTAAAATGGTTTTATTGTTGACTATCCTGACATATATTTAAATATATATCCGGATGGGCTTCTTAACCTTTTGCTCTTCTAAAAATTATTACATTCTTGGACACTATCTGCATTTATTCTTAAAAACTACAACCAAAAAAACTATATAAATCTAAACCATCAACATAAAAGAATACTTTTTCCTACTTTTTTGATTTTTTCTAACTTTTTCAACATTTTAGAAAACTTATGATACTACATTTTCAGTGTAGTATGATACTACACTCCCAGTATTAATATCTCATAAATGCAATTAAAAATAATCAAATTAAATTGTATTTTTTATTTTGCCAAAGTACCTTTTCTTCAGATTCAACCACCAAATGATCATTTGATATAAGCTTAAAAATATCTTCAAAATTTAATTCATATAATTCTATTACTTGCGATTCATTTTCCAGAATTGTACTAGGAATAAAACATTTAGTATATATTAAAATATTCTCAAACGAATTCCAATCTTTACTACTTACTTAAAATGTTCTAAACAATACAAGAAACAATAAGTGTATAGCCCTTTTTGTGATGTAGGTTCAGAAAAGCTCATAAAATTAATACAATTATTGACGTTTATGTTTTTTTTAACATAAATCCTTAGCATAGTTAAATTGAAAGTATTCAGAAGCTCTCAATAGTTTCTGAAATACAAATTAAATTTAAAATTATAACAATAAATGTGTTCAATGAAAATAATTTGGTATATTATATTACTTATATATTATTTTCCTGATATCCATCTGAAATGTATATGCACAAGTTACAATTGACGTCAATATACCAGATTCAATATCTTTAATAGGCATACTAATTTCTTTGGTCTCCTTAAAGCCACCATTGAACATTGCTAACAGCATAGGGCTTGCAGATGCTACAATTGCTTTATGAGCTAAAATTTGAACGCCATCATCACATATCAGCGTAACATCGCATAAGGCTTGCTCTCTGTAAAAAATGTATCTTCATTATTAATTAATATATAATAAAAAACATATAATGTTATTGTAATCGCTTAAGACATAAACATTAATTAAATGAATATATTAAAAATTACACATAATAAAATGAAATTTGTGTACTTCGTTGATGACTATTAGATATTGACAAGTTAATTTTTTTCACCAATGTATTTGTTTTCGATAATTATTGGTTGTTCATCAAAATTAGGAACCCGAAACGGCTAATAAAAACGTACATTAAAAACAGGGCAAAAATGTACTACAAATGTACTAACAAAATTATCGTGATGCCCCATTTAATCGCATAATGCGACTAGTAAATAAAAATAATATTGATTTATATGTTAAAAATTCGATAGAAGCTTTTGTTATTTATTTAAATAATCTTATTGTGTAAATATTGTTTATCTTTATCAATTATTTTGTGTTGTTGAAATCCATTTTATTTGTCAGCTGTATACTTTTATTTTTGTGTTAATTCTGTGTTTATGAACACTTTGTCTATTCTTCTCATATTTGTAATTGGGTATTACCCGTTTAAAAATACAATAAATAAATAATAATGTTTACAAACAAATAGAGTTTCAACACATTTAGGGTGATTTTTTAGTGTCAACGTTGTATACTAGAACTTTGAAAAAAAACCAGTACCTAATACACTATAACAATTTTACAAAATATTGTATAACTCTTTAATTTTTTTTAAAAAAAGGTCTTAAACACACTTAACAAATAAAATGATTTTAGAAATTCGCTTATATTTATGCCATAAAATATAACTTACTGGAAGAACCCGTACAAGATTCGAAAATGTTCATACATAAGGCTCAAAGTTTTGATTGGTATATTATGTGGAGAGTACTTTGGAAACATGTTGAATAGTTGTGTTTGTCTACAAATATAATATATTATGCTTTGTAATAAATTTCAAAATAAAGCCAATTGGAAAGTGATTTATTCTGTCTAGGTCCATCTAACAAAATATTTATAGCAATTTAGACGTATTTTTGTTCAAACAGTACACGGTTCGATGATATATCTACTGTTATGATAAGGAATCTGTAAACAAATTTGAATTCTTCATTATCTAAAAGATGACCTAACAACTTATTTCATTAGTTTTTATCTAAAGTGTGATTCTTTGGTGATATTTTATTTTATAATTGAATACTGGACACTCTTAAGTTCAAAATAATATAAAATGATCTAGTCGTCCCTGGAAAAGATTTCAAGGTATACAAATATGTTTTAAGATTCCTCATCACATCAGCAGATCGATCAGTACACAGGAAATACATCTAAATTCCTTAACTGAGAGATTGACGGACTAAGGAAGGAAATATCTAATCACAATCAAAAATAAAAACTAACAAAATAATAACATACCGTATAGTAGAAACTAGACACGATTAAGGATTAACAAAGCAAAAATACAGAAAACCCAATAAACCGTAGGCGATTCAATTTTTTTAAGGTAAAATTTTCAAATTAGAATGAACACGTCGAGACGTTATCAATAGATATCTTTTCCGTTAATGATAAGGCCAAAATATTTTCGCGCCAACTATTCTGTTATCAATATAGTCCCGTTTGAATTGCGCGCGTTTTATGTTGTTATTATCAAAATTCAAACTGAAATAGTGCTAAATTACTATTCCTTTTTAGTTTCAAATTGTTATTTCTATTTAATTAAAAATGTCTATAATTAATCTATAACCAGGGTTCTAAAATGCAAGAAAATAAATAGTTTTAACATTTACTATAGTTATGTGACTAACGGTGTACAGTAGCATACAATGTATTAGTATTTAGTATGTTATATATGATAATATTATAGCTAGGTATATAAAAATAATTTTAATGAAAACTTGTTTTCGACCAAAAACCAAACTATAAATTTCTTTTTGTAAAAAAAAAAAATTCATTTTAGACACCAATTTCTTTTGTGTTTTTTCATTTCAAGCTCATAGCAACATCTGAACAAATATTCACATGCAGCGAACCCGATTGACGAGTATCAAAAATAATTTCAACCTATGTCTAGTTTGTACATACCGCAATAAGAATTTAATATCTCTCAATTTTCCTTCGTTCGGCTTTTATTAAATCGTCGGTGTACATTTTTCTGCAACGGATATATTAGTCAAGCCTGTACTTCAAGAGCGTTGTGATCGTCGTATATTATAAAAAATGAAAGCCGGACGTGATATATTTTTAATTTTTTTAACGCTTTTCATGTCCGCTTTAGTAGCAGCAGATCCGGTATCGCAGTACCATGTTGATGCTTTGAACTATATATTCACTTTATCCGGTTGGAGGAATATGTCGCAACGCGATGATATCAAGATAGCCGTGCCATGGATGAACACCCGCCGTCTCTTGTCCGCCAAAGATATACTAGAAACCGACGGAATTCACGGCCGCCACCCACTAGTCACGGTCAGAAACGCGGATATTAAAATCCGTCTAGCACATCAGCTTTTCAGCTGTCAGTACGCCAGCACTCTAAACATGTGTTACCATTACACTATAGACGCAGTACTCAAGTGTAAGGACATCGGAGATACCGCCACAACCGCGGTATGTATAACCAAGTTTAGACAAATGATCCAAAATATCGACCGACTTGTGGTGCGCGTTCTGGCCACGCTTTCGTGTATTACCGATGAATTCCCAATAACGACGTACGACAATGACGTGTCCGAATTGTTAGAAGAATTCAGGAGGTTCTACAGCACCTTGTTTTTCGATAATGATTCCGGCGACAAAACTTACCACGACTCAATAATCAATGCTACCGAAAATAATATGAACACCGCCTTACGAAGCTTGGGTAAGTTCTATAATGATTTTTGCAGACCTAATAAAGACAATGTAATTGCCGAAATTGGGCGAGATATCCGGAGAATGCATGGAATATTAAATCCCCATCAAGTAATGCAACAAATTGAAAATCGGATAGATTTTAACGTCAGCTCGAGCATAAGCGAACTCTGGGCCTCTGTTGGCTTCGAGTACGATGCGGTAAATGATAAAACACGTGTTACGTACGTACCGTAACGAATTCCAAGAAAATTCAAACAAATCCATACCATAAAACGAATTATCTGTCTAAGAATATTTGAAAATTCAGCCAACATAGAACTCGAAACACCTCGTCCAGAGCCGAAACAGTTATTCGCATAACAAAATATTCAAATTGTGAAATACACATTTTATAAAATTACAAAATCTGTACAGCTATAAAATTCCATTTTATAATTATTAACTGACTATTACAATTCCAAATATATGTTTAAAAAAAAACTTCAAATTTTTAGTTATTTATGATAGAATAATATTTTGTATTGGTCAATTTTGATTTGTTTAATAATACATTGAACAAATACATTAAGGTCGTGGCATTAATAAGGTGAGTGGAACTCACAGATCTATATAAACGGTTACAACAAAAAGTGGTTAAATTACTTTCCAATTAACACTTTGATGCAAATCGGTGGATAGTAGCTTAAAACCAATCTAGTATAAAACAAGCACAATAAGAAAGTATTATACGTAAGTGAGTAGTTGTAATAAATATGGTATAGTAAGTATAAAGTATGGTTTGGTAAGTTTGGAAATAAAATAATAAATATCAATAATAACAATTATTATTCGGAAAATTGTATACGTCATAGTTTAATTCAAGATCTACCTTTTGCTAACTTTCAGACCAAAATCCCTAAAACTTGTAAAAGTGAAATAAAGAAAAAATACCATCTATTTTACGAGAAAGGGGATGTGATATTGTACTATGTCTTAAGAATATTCTATACTTCATTGTAATTAATTGGACTATTTTTAATAAAGTTATGGAGCGCTGTAAGTCTAAATTGAAAAATATGTAAATCTTTTTGGGATTTTCCTCTATTTTGAAGGGGAAGGGTTGACTTTTTAAAATATTTGGCCTTTTAGATGCAATTTCTGATTTATATAGTGTTGCTACACGAAGAAATCGGTTCAGTGGTTTAAAACATATTTAGGTTCCAGACACAAAAAAAAAATGAATATCAAAACACAGTTACACAAATGCAACACATTTACGGCTTATACATAAACTATTTTTTAGTTTCTAAAAAGTTTTATGTTTTGTGTTAAACTTAGTGTTTGAACTATGGTTATAGTTTTTAGATAGATGACATTTTTAGATAGATTAATGACGATCTTAATTAGTTAATCAGGTTTTCTCAAAGGCAATAATATTTTTTATTATAATATACATATAAAAGTATTACGTGAAATGAAACATATTTCGTTAATTATTTTTTGTCTACTAAGTCAATTTTAAAAATATTTCAAATGTTTTTCTTCTAATCACACATTCACAACGATTTGATTTTTTTAAAATTTAATAAACCATTATAACGACTATTCAAGCCTAGCCATTTCTAACTTAGATGTATGTTATATATTTTTAATAGATAATAAGCACACATTTCCTCATTGTACGCACATCACATCACATCATATAAGTAATAATCAATGCTGGCGTTACGATACGTTTTACTATAGTAGAACAGAGTCAGACAAATATTGTTTACTAAAATTTGTTTAATTTCTCTTTTTATATTTTTTAACTAAATTAAATTTAAAGTTAAATATAAATATTAGAGGTTTACACTGCTGGGCACAATCGAAATGTAATAAGTATTTGCCTTCTCATGTCCCACCATAGAAAACAAAATTTTAAATGGGTAAATAATTTTAGTATACAAAATTGATTCAAAGGGAAATATAAATTTAAAAAAATGTATTACATATGAATACCATAGGATTTCAGAGTAACATCATTAAAATACATTATTGCACCAAAATCGTTTGATGATTCTTGTGCCGTATCGACCAATAACCATTGAGATTCAGTAATAGTATCACTCGATCAGAAATATTATCCGGAAATGATTAAGTGTTAAAAAATTAAAAAGTTCACTATATTCTTTTCAAAAACGGTAATTGTAAACATGGTTTTCAATGACTTAAATTGTAAACTTTTAAAAGTTGTTTTTGTTTGAAAACAAACCAGTTTTGTGAAAAAATAATATATATATTTATATATATGATTTTTTACAGTAATCACATTTGACCATAGAAACGAATGAAAAGTGTCCAAATGGTTGGCCTGTTAATAATAAAACGACATTTATATTGATTTTCGTGTCTTGGCAACGTTAATCCGGTATCGTTATTGATGTTTGTAAATTATAACAAATCAATTTTCATCGTCTCGACTTACTGATTTTTTTCAATAGAGTATTTCAAAATTATTACATACCTATAAACGCGTTGTTATTTAATCTTTTGTACATCTACATAGTTTTGTTCGACTTTTTGTGACAGTGTATCATTTAACTAACTATTACATTGTGTTCATTATTTAATTTTGTATTTGTTATTTAACATTGTGTTCGTTGTTTAATATTGTACTTTTTATTTAACATTGTAATCAAATGGCCGATCGCCGCAGTGTAGAAATAACTCACGGTGTTCGTTCTTCGACCGTCGGTTCACCTGCTGAACAAGGTTGGTATCATATTCTACGTTGTTGTTGTTAAGTTGGTACGCCTAGTGACCTAGTGTTGTTTAATTATAATTAGAAGACAACCGGGACACCCCGGACTGTTGTCGCGGTCGAAGTGCCAAAAGGTCATACGGCAGCGACGAACCGGCGTCCAAACGACCCAGGTAACCCCAAAAGGATCTACACGGTTGTATTAATATTATCATCAATGATCTACATCAATAATGCACTTTTTAGAACCGACCGGTTTGATTTTGAGAAAGCCGACGCCTCCGATCACCAGCCATCAGACACAGCTGATGACAATGATAGTGGTTCAAAAATCTGTGTTGATGACAGCAGCGACGAAACCACAAACGAGTCAGTAACTATTTTGTCCGTTTTGTGTAAACTAAAAATGCGTACATTTTGTTTTTATCAACATTTCATAATTAAATATCATACATAAACTTAAAAAAAAAAATGTATAAAAAACACTACCTAAATAGTATCATAATAACGTTTCAGTAGCATCGAAAATAAGGAGGAAGAAACCGCTGATAGCTACGTTGGACTTGAACCAGAGGAGGTATTTGGAATGAAAAACGACTCTAACGGAGGCCTAATGTACTTGCTAAAATGGAAGCATGCAGACTTTATCAATTTTGTTCCTGCCCGAGTTGTGAAAGTGTTAAGCCCACAAATTGTGTTGAAATTTTACGAAAAATGTCTTGGGTTGGACTACTCGTAGCAGCTGAAATTGTATATGTATTTGTAATTATATTTTTTTCTTTTTCTGAAATCGATAATTTTTAATAAACAAACCAACAAATTGGATAATCTTAAATATTTAAAATAAACCTCGTCCCTCGCACAGCGAGTTTGAATACCAAAATCCTGGTGGTGTAATATCCTCTTAAGTAGTCTAGTAAAACACAAAAACATATTTTCTTAAAGGGTAATTTTTTAAAGTCAAAGAGTGATATACACCACTTCAGAAAAAATGTGCCGTTTAGAGGAAAACAATAAGTGTGAATTGCGTTATTGAGAGTACACTGTACACATGGCCTGTACAAAGCAACTTTTTATAAGGCAGAAACCTCTATAACGCCAAAAATAGTCTATCTAAAGAAGGAAGGAAAAAGAAATAGTAAAACCGCTAATTAGTATTAAGCGACAATACTATTAACCGATTCCCGCAACTTTCCATACAGACTTTATCTTATAAAATTGCTTTCGAAATTATTCAAGTTTAAAAATAGTAGTTTTTTCAGATAAATTATAAAGTCATATATTAATTTAATATATGTATATTGCATTAAAATCAAAGTATAATGGAAAAATTAAATTAAAAAAATGTTATAACATGTATTATATTTGTTAAACCTTCGGCAGTTATACAAATTAATTAAATAATCATACATAAAATACTTAAGACATCAAAGATTAATTGAACTAACTTGGTTTTCACAACAACGAAACCACGAAATGTATTATCTTTAATCTAAGCCGAAGAGGCTGTGTAAAAAGTGACTTAAACACTATAAATATGGATTTTAAATACTATTATGGGTTATTTTAATTATTCATATTGTGTTACATAGACTTGGACGCCTAATAATACAAAATCGAATATCAATCATGCAAACAAATTTAAGACCATTCATATCCTACAAATCTGTGAAAACAAATTGTAGGTGTACGGTAAAATTATTGTAATGAGCGTTTTAATTAAATTATTGTTGTCATTCCTTCAAATAGTTGCCAGGTAATATAATAAGTATTTTATTTGCGCAAACAGCTTGTATTAATTAATAAACTGTAGATATTTTTTCCTACAAAACCGAGAACAACGAGTACTTTAGTTTATTCGAATTAAACAATATAATATAACTGACTAATAACTGAATTGGATAAATATAACTCAACCATACATATCCACACAGAAGAAAAATGTACATATTTTTGCCCCAGTCGTTTTTCTCCAGACAACAAAAACATCTATAAAAACTTTTATCTACAGTAATAATCACAGGGCAAGAATAACTATATTGTTGTTTACCAATATTGTTCTCTGAATTGTGTAGGTATCATTTGAAAAAAAATTAAAACTATAAAGCTTAGAAAAAAGTTTTAAAACCTTATTTCATACTTTTTGAACTTTATGGAATGGCGGAATGAGCAATTATCATGCAATTGTAACATCTACTACTAGATAATATGTTTAAATATATTCCAATAAAAAAAAAAGTTAAGAAGGATATAGACAAATTAAATACAACAATACCCAACTGCGTTATTCTTTGAATTATTATTATTTAACATAACATTTATACAAATGTAGGTATGTTTATATTTTATAAATAATGTGTTCAATTATATTATGTATTTTAACATGAAATACATTTTTAAAGATTCAACCAAAAAAATGTTAACAAAAAAATATGTATTAAAAGTGGATGATAGTAATAACAGCTTAGAGCTGTTTTCATATATTTGTCCAGTAACAAAAATTTAGCTTATCCGCCTGTGGACGTACAATTTAAGTTCATACAACACAACAAAAAAATGGTGTACAGTAATAAAAGCAAAAAGTATGCCAACGGCACGTAGTGTTCCCAAGCGGTCACCCATCCAAGTACTAACTACGCCCGACGTTGCTTAACTTCAGTGATCGGACGAGAACTGGTGTATTCAACGTGGTATGGTCGTTGGCGGAGATTGGGAGTTTATTTTACTTATTTAAACACAATATTCTTTTTTTTAATAATATAATATGATATCACACTGCATAAAATGTAGTTAAATTCAAACTAAATTACATTATTTAAATATTGTGCACGTTTAAAATATGTTTGTACATTAGGTACTTGACGATAAATGGACAGACTGATAATATGTTAATTGTTGAACAATGTAATAATGAATGGAATTTTGGTTATTAAGAGCCATGGCAATGTTTGTAAGATTCAATTATTTAGCAAATACCAAGTTACATCACACAACCACGCGATGAATGAATAAAGGAAATTTTAAAAACTGAATTTTGAAATTTAAAATGTTTGGTTCCCTAAGGAGTATTTAGCATTTTTGACCAAGTGTAGCAATATGAAGTAATGACAATATTTTATAAAAACTGATTGAATTTAGTAATAATAAATGTCGGTTGCTAAGTATTTGTTTTTTAATAAATACTTCATATGTATATTTTATATTTTGTTGACCATGGTATATAATATTTGGAATTTGACATTTTTCAAAATAACTGGTCTTTGTTGTTTAATTTTTGGGCTACTGCGGCTTAAGCAGGTGGTGACGATCATTTTGAAACCAAACGACTGCTGTTTTTTAAATTAGTTACTATACAGTAGTCGAGGACAAAATAATATATTGTAATTTGAACATAAAATTAAACAAGTCCACAACTATTTTCGAAATTTAATGAATTGTTATTCTTCAAAAACTATGATTGTATTGTACACATGTAATTTCGAAAAATATTATGGATCTGACTTATTCAAAATAATTTTGAGTCGTCCATCGTGATTATGAACAAGTCAAAATAATTTTGGGTCTTCCCCGAGAAGGATTTTGACTTTTCCATATTAATTTTGAGAATTCCAAAAAAATTTGGAATTTTTTCTACACAATTTTGATTTTTCCAAAATTATTTTGGTTTTTCAAAAATTAAGTCAAACAAATTCAGTATTATTTTAATGTGCTTTTAAGACGTTTATTTGGGCCGTTCCCGGTGGTACTGCAATACCGGGTCAACCCGCGGTGGAGTAGGAGCAAGCCCCAAATTCTCCACCAATTTGAAAAAATTAGTTTAACATTTGAACCCCACGATGTGAGGTGTATCAGATGTTAAGCTGATAAGAACAGATACTACACTTTGATCTTAGCCGATAGGCCGAGAAGCGATACTTACAAACACCAACTACATTCTATTTATCAAAAAACAAACGCACAAACAAAACGCAGAACGATAATTTTGGAAAACTCGAAAAAATTGTCAAAAACGCTCGAAATATGCACGAAAACGTGCTAAAAGTTGCTCTAATTTCTTGTAAATGTCAATTACAATTTAAATAATATGTTTCAAAAAGATTTCGTAAAGATTTTGGATCGAATTTTTGAAAAAAACCTGCCAAAATTTCACAAACTCAAAAAAAATTCAGCGTCAGCGGTATCTACCGGCAGCCGCAGGCAATGCGGTCCGCGCATTTGTGTATAGCCGCCTTCTCTACTACTTTACTGTACATCCGTTAGATAGCACTACTGTTATGCTTGCAGTGATATAATATTTATTTTCAAAATTTGGAAAAATTCAAAATCCAAAATTATTTTGCTAAAGTCAAAATCCTACATTAGGTTTTTTGGGAAATTCAAATTTCAAAATTATTTTGGCCGTTAAAATTCATCTTATAGCGTTTTGGAAAACTCAAAATCAAAATTAATAAAGCAAATTCAAAAAAACTCAAACCTCTAGTATTTAAAAAAACTCAAAATCCCAAACTATTTTGAATTATTAAAAATTTTCCGGTAAAACCAAAATTATCATAAAAATTCAATATTACTATTTTTTTTGTATTTTGGATAATTCAAAATCAAAAATTATTTTGCAATCGTCAAAACCCTCTATAATATTTTGAGATAGTCAAATTCCAAAGTTTTTATCTATTAGTATTTTTAAATTCAAAATCAAAATTATTATGGAAAATACAAAAACCTCTAGTATTTTGGACAAGTTAAAATCTACAATCATTTAAATTCTGTTTGCTATAGTAACCAAATTTAAAATAATGGCTATGGTTTATTTTTAAAACTTTTGCCATCAAGTAGCAGCAGCCTAATATTAAAGAGACAGAACACAAGTTTTCGATCAACAACAAACCGTGAATTATGGCCTATAAAATTATGAATAATTATTATTTAACTGTTAAAAAAAAATATATATATTATGTATTTGGTTATTATTCTGTACATAACCATTGGCAGTTAAAATGTATATAAGTTCTTTGTAAATTTCTATTATGACTTAATATATTTTGTTTAACACCATCGTAACGGTCACAAAAACAGTAAAATAATAATTTTTTGAAAATATTGGTTTTTCATAGAATTAAAATATATTTGTATAAAGTTGTTGATCGTCTAAATAAAATAGCAACAAAAAAGAAAAAAATTGCATAGACTTGGTGAATAGAATTTTGGTCTTTCTATAGAGGAAGTGGAATTTAAAGATTTTACATTATTTTTACATATTATATAAAGTAGTAGGATTTTATCAATAACGGTAGAAACTAAAACTAGTCGTTAAATAATTGTGTTCTAGTGTAAAACTGAAAAGATAACATACATAATATACATGCATATGTCATATGTTGCTAAAACTTTTATTTTTATAACTTATACCCATTTTTTTTAAAAATTATTATGAACATTTATAGGCATAATAATATTATACAGATATATCATTTTCCCCAAAAGCTTATAGCACTATTAGTGATAGCAACATGTATAATACGAGTCCGAGTAAACAAAACCTTTATACTGTCCCATCGGTCGGACAAAATATCTACCAATTTTAAATTAATATGAACTATAATTGAACATTTGTTTTGTTTTAACTATTTTTTTATAACTGATACTTTTTATATTTAGTAAAGATAAAGAAAACAACAATTTGGATTGAGAAATTCACATGTAATAATATTTTAATGGTAATAAACAATACGTATACGGTATAATTAAATATTAAATTTTCCACACAAAATTTATACTAGTTTTAAATTATAATCATAATAAGCATAAAATTGTCTACTTAAAAATTAAAAACAAAAAAAATTCAATGTTTTTTTTTAGTAGACGATTAAATGTTTTATTTACTAATTATTAATTAGGTGGGTTTTTTTTCAATTATAAAGTAATTATGCAGTTTTTAACTTGTGTACAGTATACATAATAATAATATTACTCTGATATTAGATTCATGAACAAACATAATTTTTCATAAAAATATATCAAGAAATTAAGAGAAAGAAATTCATTTTACATGTAGTTATAAAAAAAAGTCGGTATGACGATGCGTCAAATTGAATTGACAATAGTTTTAAGCAAACTCTTTGCTGGCACTCGAGTTCAATTAAAGTTGCGTTCATACAGTTCGATAATACATCCGATTGTCGTTCTTTCCTTTGACGCCCATGTATTTGATTATCTGAAAAAAGAAAAAAAAATTAGATGAAATTGCAGCAAAATAAAAATATAATACAATTTATACCTACAGTTTGTAAATGAATAATAACTAACGTGAAACTCTTTTATTAATAAAAAAAAGTTCCTTAAAAATAGTTGAAAACGTATTTTTACATTTATTAAGTATATTATTAAGTTTCATATTGAATTAAACACATAGTAAATTTAGCCTTCAAGTTTATTTATTTTTAAATTAAATTAATACTATCTAATTAATAGTAAAATTCATACCAAATAAATTAAGTTTATTATTTATTCAATATTCAAATAAAAAATATATAATTATTATGATGTAAAAAACTTAATGTTTATGCAAAAACAAAAAACTGTTGGTTATCTTTAGCTTGCGTTAAATTAATCCAATATAATTAAGACATTCGTGCGCTTTATGCTTTGGATTTAAATAATTATTTTATTTTATTAAGTATTTCAATTTTTTATTTTTTTGCTAGAATTGTATTATTAAACTGTTAAAATATTTATCGTGTGATTATATTGAATTACCTATTAAATTTTTTAATTGTAAAATCAATGCAAGTATATAATTTGTAGTTTTCATAAGTTTTAATTTAAAGTTATTGTTATTATTAATTTAAATCATACCAAGTATAAAATACACTTCAATAGTAGTGCACAGGTGTGATGAGTGCATTTTTTTCCCGGATAAAATTAGTTAAAAAAAAAAAATCATTTTTCACACTTGTGCACTATGCCATTGATATTATTATGTTATGTATATATTACATAATTTTAGTCATTTCAATCTAAATAACTAACAAAAAAATAAAAATTAACCAACATCTCGGTCAGGCTTGTCGTACGCATATCTCTCGACTGTATCAAGTAGTTATTCTGAGCAGAGCTTGTCTTTTGTTAAAAAACATCGATCTGTAAATACAAAATGTAATTAACAATAAAAAGTATGTAGTGTTTAATATATTTTATTTAAAAATAAAATATTTACCTCATGTTATCAAATGTATCTTGCGAGTCTAAAACTCAAGTATATTTATGAAAACTATTTTAATAATTTTGAGTAGTAAGCTTGTTGTTGTTGTATCAATCCATTGGTGTTAGTAACTGAAAAAATAAAAAATTAAAAAGTAAATACATTTATAAGTAAGGTTAAAGCGGTTAAAAGTCTATTTGGCTGTTGGCATAAGGGACGTTTTTTATAGTTTTCAAGTGCATAAAAGTAAATGTATTTAACATTGTTCTATCCAGTTAACCAAAATAATATTAAAGGTACAAAAAAACTAAATACAAACCAACATGTTTGTGATATATATTTCAGTTTTTATCAAGCCAATAATAATCATAATAGTCGGATGATTGAAATGTTATTTGTCGTTAATGTCAGTACCATATATGTACAACAATAGGTAAAATAATCTATCAACATTTTTACTATAGGTATTTAATAAATACTTATATTATTTTTGTGTTGTATGTATTGGGTTACAGTTTTAAATTTAACCATTGATTTAAATATATTGTACACACGTACTCACGGTTATCTTAAAGTCGTAGAATTAATCCAGCTATGCTCGTTCACTACAATATTTTGCTGAATTTGAATGAGGTAGTAATTGTGGATAACAGTTTTTATGTGTTATCATATTTGTAGTATAATAATTTCATGTATTCAACTTAATACTCGAAGAGACTGCAGAGGGAAATTTAGTCTGAGAAGTTATTATCCAAGTTCATAGTTCCACAAATAGTTATTATTTTCAAAGCACATTTTATACTCTCATCAGTCATCAAACTATCAAACAACTTGTTCTTAATTGTGGCCTTAAAAATTCAACACATTGAGCAAGTTGTGCATAAGAACTTAATTCATAAAGCATTTCTCTGCTCTTAGGCAGAGTTACGGGAGATGCTAACCGTTTTTCTGTAGCATTAAAGTGATTGACAAAATTAATAATTGGAACTGCTGTTGGTTTGTTGGACTGTTTGATATTAAACATTTTCTCTGTTGGCAGCTTGAATGAAGATTGCTTTCTAGAATAATTCTTGCTTCTTTACTGGAGTTTTTGTTGAACAAGTGACTTTACTGGTGTACGTTTTGACGGTGATCTTTCATTAATATTTTCTGTAGGAGACTATGGTGGAGATAGCACAAAACACTAAAGAGTAAACAAAATTACTATATTAATAATTATTGATACACAATGACTTAAGGTCTTATAATCTTCAGTATTATATTATCGGGATAACACTAACTATATTATCATTTATCAAGAACAAACATATTATTATCACATACTAAAATTTGAAAGAATATATTTTGTGATAAGAGTATATTATCAGTGAACCCCGCTATTCCATAAAGTTCAAAAAGTATGAAATAAGGTTAAAAATCTTTGTTCTAAGCTTTGTAATTTTAACTTTTTTCAATAATACCTACATAATTTAGAGAACAATATTGGTAAACAAGTAAATATTTTTATTCGTATAAATTAAGTGTCATTATTAGATTAGGTCATTTTTGTTACACTCGGTAAACAGACACTTAAAATCTAAATCTTATGTATGTTACTTGATGCCACAGATGTAAATCGTTCACATTGTGCACAATGTTATGCTTTGCGACCGACTGCTCACTTACTATGGCGGCTTTTTGATGAGATAAGGCTAAGAAAGAAAATATATTACATTAGAAAACTTGCAGTCGCAAGGGAAAATCAAAACACAATTACACAATTACAATTCTCGGCTAATACATAAACTATTTTTTAGTTTTTAAAAAGTTTTTTTTTTTTTTGCTAAACTTAGTGTTTGAACTAAGGAAGAAAGGGGAGAGGAGAGGAGATAAAACCTAAAGAACCACGCGAATATTCGTGGTTGACGCCATCAGTATAATAAAATAATAAAAATATAATAAAAAAATTGTTTTAGAAATTAAAGAATACTCCCTGCTCGATCACATCGCATAAGACAAACAACAAGTCGTTTTTCGATTTATATTAAAAGTTCCCGTTTGACAGTGTACAATTTTAATAATATATATTTTATCATATAACATTTTGTTTTTCTTTGAAATCATTATTAAATCGACAATTGTATATATATATATATATATTATAAATATCTGTTATTATTATTATTATTTATGAATTAATTAAGATAGGAGTTCCAAAAAAATACAACATCTACAATGCGTACAAATCCAACAGTAGTATTTCTGTTTCTAAGTATTTATCAACCTATGGCTTATTTAATAAACCATTGCATTTTCGCAATAACAAGGTATATTGGTGCAAACCTAAAAAACGAAATGCGAATAATTTGAAAAACTGAAAACGCCTTAAAGATATTTTTATCGAATACACAAGTAACAAAAAACCGTGTTGTGTATACCCTACATTTTTTTTTGGCGTTGTACAAATATCTAAAAATTTAATACTTCTCAGCAGCTGAAAAAAATATACTAGGTGTTACTGACTTTAGCTTAAAATTATAAGTTTGTTTCGAAAAAATTGTCAACTTCTGATTTATTATAGTCTTTGTATTTTTATTATGAAAATTTATATCAATAAGATTACACACGAAAACCAAACAAAATTGAATTGCGCGACTTTTTTAATTGTTATTTCTATTTAATTAAAAATGCCTTTCGAGTCTATAATAAAACGAAGGAATAAATATTTTATATTTGAAATTAATTTGTTAAAGTCGGACTTTTAGTAAAAATAAAATATTATAACAAGAACAAACATAATAGATATGGAAAATGCAATTCAATGGGTCAATTTGTTTTCCTCGATATCAAATACAAATTGGATTGTCAGTTTTGAATTCACTGAATTACTGAATTTTGTTGAGAACAAAGTGTTCGATTTGATGTAATTTAAAATTTAATAGAAAACGGTTGTTTTTTTTTAAGGTTTTATATTTTAAAATAATATTAAACAAATAATCTTTAAATATATCAATATATATTTTACATTTCAAAAAATCTGTACCAAAGTGGCCCTTTGGATAGAAGATCTAGACGATTTTATAAGATTCTATGTTAATTAATATCAAATAACTGTTAATTTTAAAATCTCCTTTCGGCTTGAGAATTTGATTGTAGTTATATGTATAAAAATACACACACGTGTATCCTATAATTATAAGTGGTGACATTTTCCCCTGTAGGCATGTTGAGCTCAATTCCACCATTCTAGATAGAATATTTTCACGCCTTGAACATCATGAAAGGGGAGATAAAAATACAAAAATGTTTAGCATGAGTTTTAGGTCTGTTTTTTTTCAATACTTTTAATTTTTATATAAAAAAAAATATAAAAAGGGCAACCGTTAAACACGACCGATAATTAGTGAATATAATTATTGCAGTTGACAAAAGTACAGCTATTTCAAGTATGTGTGTTGCGGTTGCTTGTCATCCTAAATTTCCTTTATTTTATACAGTTGCTAAAAAACGTTTGCCAAGTCGGTGTCGGCATATAAACTGATATTTGTTTTTTTAATTTTCTGAGGATTTTTATATATATCTGTTATTATTATTTATAAAATAATAAAAGCAGGAGTAGCTATAAAATACAACATCTATGCGTACAATTCCAATAATAGTATTCCTGTTTCGAAGTATTTATCTACCTATGGCTTATTTAATAAATCTTTGAATTTTCTCAATAACAAGGTTATTACCTTTCTTGGTAGCTTTATTATGAAAAATTATATCAATAAGATGATACACGAAAATAAAACAAAATTGACAATTTTCTACATTTTTTTGTAGTCGGATTGACTTGTTTTTTTAAAACTTAACGTTTGTTAAGAGTTTTCATATTTTTTTACATTGCTACAGTTATTTCAGAAAAACGGATCAACCACTTAAGTACACAAACGACAATCCAAATTATAAAAACCACTTGTTTTTTCTGCAGAGCAATAATATAGTCGTATAGTTGTAAGTAAGTGTCTTAATGATACCAACCGAAATTTGTCATTTATTTACATTGCAACAGACGTTGTGAAATGCACACTACCTTCACCACAATTTTGTGCAGCACATAATATCTCTGTATATAATGTAAGAAATTGTACTGTTACTCTAGTATAGTATTCACCCTCTTTGGTGGTATACTTTAATTTTAATCCGGAATTTTATACTTCATTTAGCATTTTAAAAATACATATTTAAGATACTATTTAAGAATATGAATTTTAAAAGCGTTATTCTGGTTATAACAACCGTGTTATGCATCATCATGTCTATGTCTAAAGGTAGGTACATAAAAAACATTTAAAAACAAATGTAACAATAATGAGGTTATGTTAAAATAAAATGCTTTTCCATAAGAGTAAAATATTTTTATTATGACATCTGATGATTTTTTTAGAAAAATTAATTAAAAACTATATATACTCATTAAGTTATTTGTATATTATACATATCTATTTTTAAGTGTTAATGGAATATTTTAAAATAAAATTGTAACAAAAAAATATATATACTTATATCTAAAAAAGTAAAACATGTAAGTCCAATAAAAATCGCGGTGCTTATAACGCAAATGAGTAAAAATAATTAAAAAATTTTTTTTTAATTTTTACTAGAACAAAAGTTATTTTATCTGTCTAAACATTGTGGGCCACCCTGTATAATCATTAGCAATATTATATAATTTTGTTTATCCAGTAATAAAATTATTTTACATATATAACTTATACGTGAAACATATATTATATGGCTATAATAAAACTAAACGCTTTTGGATTGAAATAAAAATATATAATTTATACACAAGGATAAAAAAAAGTATTTAAGTAATTATTTTTTCAATATTTTTTCAGGTGACCCGAGTGTACCTCCTAAACGTAAGTTAATTGATAATATAAGTTTATATGCTTGACAAATTTACTAGCAGTTTTAAAATTATTTTCAATAAAGATTAAAATGTGTATTATAAAATGCTACAATAGTGCCTTGAGTTGTCAAAAATAAAAATACGTTTGCCATGTTCATGAAAATATTGTATAATTGTCCATATCTAGTTATAATATTATTTTAAGAATATTACATATGTGATATGTCTACAATACAATTAAATGGTTTTGGATGAAAATAAATATATGTAATTTAGACACGATGCACTAGGATAAAAAAAAATATCAAAGTAATTTTTTTTTTGATTTTTCAGCTTTGAAACTCCGCCCACGACCAAGACTACCAGAACGACCACTACCAAGACGACCACCACCATCACCACTACCACCACCATCACCACTACCACCACCACCACCACCACTACCACCACCACCACAGTAATACACGTGTAATTCAATATGCAATTTTATCATTTTTTTTTTCAAATGACTGTTAGTTGGTTGATAATATAAGTTTTTGTGCTTTACAAACATACTAGCAGTTTTTTAATTATTTCCAACAATGCTGAAAATGTTTAATAAATTATTATATTTAACATTGTTTTATAACCGATTTACACATAATAGTTTGATATTTTAAAATCACAATTGTTTTGAAATTAAAACAATGGATACTAGTAAACCCTGAGATTTTATTTAGAATGGAAACGCCTTGTACTTAGTAATTTATTAAGGAGCCTATTTTAATTTTAGTTAAAACTCACGTGTAAGATAATTATAACGACATTTATACACAATATTTTAATATATGTATGTATATTTTTTTTAGCTAAAAACTAACGCCCACTAACGACAGTTAAATTTACTAACAAAACTAAAGTATCCAAGATCCGTGTCACATTCTGAAAATTCATATGCTCACTAATTTGTGTATATTGTAAAATGTTCATCTTTGTTTATCATAATTGTGTATCAACTTTCATATTTTTCTAATAACAATGTATTCCAAATAACATATAAAAGATATTATGTCTAAGAAATATACCTATGTACCAATAGAAATAATATTCACCGAATAAGTAAATTTGTATTTAAGTTGGGCTCACGTATTACTTAAAAAAAGTTAGTTCATTAAACTTGAACGGTACCCGTGAACAATACGTCATAGCATTACTGACCAGTGCAGTGACTGTCCGTCGATTAATGCTTACAATATGACACGTTCATGCCTTTCTGGGATACTTGGATATCATATTATAAAGTTTTAATAGCGCCCAGAAATTTGTGCATTTGCAGGTTCTATTGAATGGTCCAAAAAATGGCTATATAGGCTGTGAATTACATTTCAATTTTCAAAAAATCCAAATTCAAAAATAATAGTTTGGC